ACATAAGCTTGTTAAGAATCCCAACTTGTGGAGGCTGACCAGTTGGCTATTTACAAAGCGGGACCGAGGAGTTGAACTCGGGACTACCGAGAGCAAATTCAGCTAGTGGCAGAGTGGAGGATTTGAACCAGGGACCTCCAGACTTCAGATCCAGCACCCTAAACCACTCGGCCACGCCGCCTCATCAAATAAAATAGGATGATATATGAACTCGTCAGTGCCATCAGCTTTTCTGATGCTACGAGGGGGAAAGATTTCAAAAAATTAGAAGAGCGGTCCCACGTATTGAACAATCCTTCTCTTAGATCATCCTTCTTAGCTGTAGGTTTAATAACGTCGCAAATCTTCACTGTATACTTTATAGTTTCTCCTCGCATTTTTGTAAACTGAATATGTTCAATTAATTCCTGGTTTATTTGCTTAAGCTTACCAACGCATGATTTATTGTCGTCAATCAGTTTGTATCCTTTGTGACACGAGCACCTTGGCTGCCCGTGATCCTCCAAACAAACTTGCTGGCAGCCTACGTCCAGAAACATTGCATCGTGCAATCGCTGTGAATCAGAGATATGCGTTATAAAGTGTGGTACAACTACCGGTTACCCTGTAGGTACTAATGGATTCTTACTAACATTTGCACGTTATTGGTAAGAACTTTTCCAACAATGGAATGACGTCATACAACAGGAATCTAAACTCAGTGCGTCATGCAGTCATAAACATTACGTCATTAGGCAAAATTTCTGAAATCTGGCTACTTTAGACAGTCAAGGGCAAAATTATTCGTCGAGGGCAAAATTACTCCAAAGATGACTCAAAGATGATCCAAAGACTCCGAAGATTACCTAACGACTGAAAGACCATCTCTGTTTGGTAATCGTGCAAAGTGTCGTTAGGTTAGGTTCTACCTGAGTCGAGAAAACGAAGTTGAAAACTGGAAATTTAGATGTTTGTATGACTGGGGGTATACACCAACCCCCAGTCATACAAACGTCTCTAAATTTTCAGTTTTCAACTTCCGTTTTCTCGACTCAGGTAGAACCTAACCTGACGAAACTTTGTACGATTACCAAACAAGAGGTGGTCTGATCTTTCAGGTGCTGGTATTGATTTTCCGCTCAGTTTAATATGAATTGCGGCGGCGTTTTGGAGAAAGGTCTATTTCACTTGTGTTGCATGGCCGACACGATTCCCTATACTAGTGACTGTAGTACTTACGTATACAAGCGGTACTATCAACTGTGTCAACTTGGAATCCTTCGAAGCAAGAACAGTTTCGTCCGCCAGGATAATTGGTGCATGTCTGCATGCAGTCATTGGAATTCACACACTCGTCGATATCTAATAAAAATATCATATTATAAAAGATGGGATCCACATTAAAGTGACAATATCGTGTGACAAACGATAAGAATAAGCTATCTGAAAATATAATAACATCAATGAGCATCAGTTTTTGGTTGTAGGACGAAAACAGCCCTAATCGACAGGGCCCAGTTGTACATAAACAGGTTGGATAACGGTTTCCACTGGATAAATCACTATCCAGTGGATATGTGTTAAGAAAACAGTAACCATTTATTTCCAGCTATCTCCCACTTTTATTATGACGATTTTACAAGTGCTGTAAGTAATTTGTTCCATTACAGGACTTACCGGTACAGCTGACGCCATCATTCTCAAGTTTGAATCCTTGATAGCAGTCACACAGATATGAACCTGGAGTATTGATACACGATTGGCTGCATCCTGACACGTGATCAATGCATTCGTCATTATCTGTGAATTGAAGGAACGTGTACTCTCTGTGACTCTCATGTAATTTCAACCTGCTCAAATTTTTCTTGAGAGTGGTCGAGAGTTTTCTCTCGTTTTTGGTCCGAGGTGATGGTAGTCGATGAGAGTTGAAGAAAAGTCTCACGAGAGCAACTCTCAGCAACTCTCATCCTCGTTTGGCCCGCCGGCCTTTAAACAGAATACTGCGCGATAAAAGGGCAAAAGTCCTGATGTTGGAACGTTGGATCCAAAAATGAGGATCTGATCAGCTAAAAGGTAAACAATGTAGATAAAAAGTCTAGAGACTACTGCAAAGCTGATGCAACAACGTCTATCTTTTTGAATTGTGCAATATTTCGGATAGTCCGCCGGCTTTATCAGGTACATGGAGAGTGTCGCAAAACAGGAATACGCGTCATGAAAGGAATAGCCCCTCCCCTCCCTCCTCTACTCTTCTGGAAGAAGTCTATGTATATTCAAATGAGGGGAACCCGGACACCGTTAATTTAGCAAAGACGAATTACAACAACTAGTCAGTCTTACCAACGCACGTAACTCCGTCTCCATGGTAACCGCTAGGGCACGGACCGCACGTGTATCCAGTTTGATTGATAGCTGGCGGAACATTAATGCACTGTGCTCCCGGGAAACAAGGATCATTGTTTTCTACACAAGCGTCAAGGTTACTATCGCAGACCTGTCCCGTGAGTCCCGCGGGACATGCGCACGATAAAACAATAAATCTGACACCACTGTCCCGCTGCCGCTGAACGTCATCGTCCTCGACACACTTGCCGCCATTTTGACACGGACACAGTTGAATCACGGGACTGAGCTCTGATGACGAGTTGTTGCTGTCAGTCACAATAAACACAGGCTCGACCTGTCAATCAAAATCAAACATGAATTTAGACTAACAAGCAGACAGACAGACAAACAAGCAGACAGACACACAGACAGACATTTCATTTAGACACGCGGATTTTCTTCAATTACAGAAATTGCAACATTATGTCAGTATGTTACAGTTAAAAACTTAAGCTACTTATAAGCTACTAACAACAACAACAACAACAACAAGCTTTATTAACTCTTTGGTTAAATACAATGATTTTCACCTCCCGCAAATTAGCAGGGCTATTCGAGGCGGGAGGTGACGAAAAACAAATTATAATAAGGGTAGCTAACAGTAGGGTTTTAGTAATAAATAACAAGAAGAAAATTATCAATTTATATAATGGCGTAGAACAAAGAAATTAAAGTAGTAATTTTGTTTCTGTATAAAGTAGAGAAGAGAAAGGAAAACTAACTAACAAACTAACAAAACAAAACTAATCAAACAAAATTAAGAAAGAGATTTAAGGCTATCTATGAGGGAATTGACTTCAACATAGTCGTCCTGAGCTGAGAGTATATCAAACATATGGTAGCGAATTGTTTTTCGGAAAATTGACTTCGGTTTGTCTCTCAGGGTAGGCGCGATATTGTTCCAGACTAAAGTTCCAAAACGGGAAATGAACGTTTTTGAATTTCCAGCTTAGCATCTTCTGAAAATAGTTACCTTTTGCTGCGGATCTAGTATTGTATCGGTGGACTTCATTAGATTTTATGAAGAAATCTCGAAGAGGTGACGGTGCAGATCCATGGGATATGTCGTGCATTAGGTTCGCGACAGCTTCGTAATAGATCATTGTTACGGGTAGAATCGATGATTTAACGAAAAATGGAATAGCATGTTCATTTCTAGCAGTGAAGTATATAAGCCGAAGAGCACGTTTTTGGAGGATTATAAGCTTGTTGATAAGACATTTAGCAGCGTGGCCCCATACACATATCCCATAGGTTAGGTAGGGTAGAATCAAGGATCGATAGATCATTAAAAGGTCTGTATAGGGACAAAATGTCGCAATCTGGCTATAATCCCAACAGTTTTACTTATTTTGAGGGCAATGTAATTAATGTGATGATTCCATTTTAAGTTGCTATCAATGAGAACACCAAGGAATTAATCTGGAGACTGAGTATACGGAATGATCTTCTGAAGGAATCTTCTGCAGGCAGACAGACAGCAACGATTATTTTCAGAAGGAAGGTTAGTAGGAAGCATTTTCTTCTACAAAAGTATTAGCTGGTATTCTTTCTTTTCGTGCTACGATTACTTAAAGGGACACTGTCCTGATTTTAGCATGATTTTGGGAAGCTCGGAAACATATCTAGATCATAGGAAGTTGATCAGTAATGGTTGGATTCTGTAGAATAACACTCGACAAATGACAGGAACCCATTAGGAAGTGAGGATGACGAACGACAGCGAGGATGGAAATGGATTGCAATATGGATTTTTGAAAAAACGTCAAGATGTCAATTTTTCAAAGTTTCAAATTTGGCTCGGAAATCTTTGAAATTTTGCAAACATTTTGTTGCAGTATGGAATTCTTGAAGAAATTGCTTTTTATCATTTAGTTAGAGTTTATTAAGTTCTTATTTCATAGATTTAGGGACCATTTCATGCATTTCTAACAGTTTTGAGCAAATACGCCGGGACAGTGTCCCTTTAACAAACGAGAGAAAAAATGGCCAAGCGAAACAGTACTTATGTAAAAGTACGTATGTAAACTCTCCTGCGGCTCCGTTTTTGCATCAGACTATGTCAACACGCGTACGCGAGCCATTGATATTTCTAAAACTCAGAACAACTAAGTTAAACAACTAACCTTCTTTATAGATGTAGGGCGCCATCGAATAACCAGATTCTGCGAATTATTGGTGACTATTTCTATATCTGGAAAGTATTTGACGGAAAACATAGACGAGTGGCTTGAGTTGTGACGAGTTGTCATGGTCACTTCAACGGTTTCATTTACTGTAGCATTGATGACTTGTGGTCCGTCAATTTGTGGCGGGAAAATTGCTGTGAAAATAAAAATAGCAACCGCAAGAACATGAGTCAAGAAACGATGATCTAAGAGAAGGATTCCCCGTGCCCCATGATAATGTTTTGCAATCTATTAATAGTTTCGCGCCATGCTGTGAAATTTATTTTTATTTCCTTCTGATCGAGGCTCCGACATCACGTTACTTGAACTGACCAATCAGGTAGCGCTCTTAAAAAATAGCTCAGCTATGGACTGAAAATTAATTAAAAATAGATTTAAAACAACTGGTACTTGTTACCCCGACTGAGTAAGGATATGGGTTTACCACACGAGGTAAAGAACAATTATTTGACCTCGATGAGATTCGAACGACAATCTACGGATTAGATCTCCGTTGTTCTGCCGACTGAGCTACGAGGCAGGACGGGAGAAGGTCGTGATTAATTTAATTCGCTGCACGTGGATTAGAATGTTAAGCTGCGCGAAAAAATAAAATAAATAAAAATAAATAAAAAAATGTTAAGCTGCGCGTCCATTCTAATCCATATTTTTGCCGATATCTTACCTAGCTTGTTGTTTATTTGATTATTATTTTCCTCCAGTTGTTTGGTGGACATTCCAAAAGACGTGTCAACAGTCACGGCAACATCAAACAAGCAGTTAGTATTGTTTCCACACACGATCTCTGCCTGTTGTCTGAAGGAGTCATTAGTCCACGTGATGTTGTCTATAAACATTGGGACGTAGCTGAGGTCTGTGAATGTTGAGTGACTGTCCTGAGCTCCGTAAGTGAACAATGACTGGGAAGCGTTTATTTGCCCTAGAATAAGAAATATAAAGTTAGTTATACGTCAATATTTACCGTATTTACTCGAATAAACACCTGGGGCGCTTATTACAAAACTCGGTATCTTGGAGGGACCTTTCCCTACGGGAGGTGTTTAATCATAACGAGGCGATGATTTTTCGGGTCAGGTGTGTTTAAAATGCCCTGACCAAACGGACATGCAAGTTTTGAAATATGAACTCGCGTACAGACCTGCATTGGCTGGCCAAACCGAGTCACAACTTTACTCGCAAGTGCACGTTAGTTGCTAAAAAAAGCCATTTCAATGATCCTGCGCGTGCTGCATTTCAGTACTCAAGTAAAAAACAACAACTAGTGTTGACTTGCGTTGGGTGGCCAAACAGTAAAAAAAACCTGCGTGCAAATTTTATCTTGTTCAAGGTGAACGAAAGTCGTCGTCGCAAGACAACGGACATAAGTAGCTACAAGTGCGCGCAAGCCGCGGTGGCCAAACAAAGACACAAATGCGCCTACTTGAGTGCGTCTCCGTTTGGTCAGGACTTTAAAAGTAAAAGAACTCACATTTTAATCCAAATTCATAATGTATCTTCTGCGGCGATGCGTCAGCCGGGAGCAGCGTTCCATCAGGAGCCATGAAGTCATCAGAAGGGTCATCATTCCATGTCCCCAGTAGGCCCCTGGTGCGATTCTTGAACTCATTGGGGCCATCAAATGCGATGGCTAGGGTTTTCGAGACACTGGCAAATGAAACAGATATCCCGGATGGGAAGAGAGCCATGATTGACGTGATTGAGCCTTCGATGTCTCTGATCAGCGCAATGTTTGCATCTGGAACTTCAGTTCCTGACATTGTAATGTTGGAGATATTTTGCTGGACTCCCGCTACAAGAACCTCAAGTTCATCTGTGAAGAAAGATATAAATAAATTAGTTATATAAAAATAAATAGGAATAATTTGGAAAAGATAATGAAAAACTCAAGTTACTGTCGCGATTTCAAAGCTGTCTGATGTGAAAATTTGTAAACCTTACTCATAAATGGCCGCCCAACAATGTTTTGTTTGACCGGGTTTTGAGTCTTTTTGGTTTAACAGCTGCAAAATTATGGCTCACAACCTGTCCTAAATAGACTCGCTTCATGTTTTTGCTAAAATTGAAAAACCTATAACTTGGAATATAGGCTTAAAACTTTTTTCCTTTCGCATATTACTATCAAGGTTTCGATTTAGGATTGTTGCAATTGTTTTCCTTTAAAATTTTGCGCGGGAAATTGGCGCGCGGGTGACCAGAATTTACGCCCTTGCGCATGCTCGAGCATTTGACCGCGGTGGACACGCAATCTCGTTCCCAGAGTCCTCGTTACCCTTTTCCAGCAGTGGAGCGGCCGACAAGGACCTCTGGGGGGAAGCGATCCGCCATGACAGGATTCTCGGACTTCCGGCTCTACTGCGCATGTTTCAACTAACGGACGCCAAGATTCTTGGACTTCCGGTCTTACTGCGCAAGTCAAGCGGATCGCTTCCCCCAAGAGGTCCTTGTTGGCCGCTCCACCGCTGGACAAGGGTAACGAGGACTCTGGGAACGAGATTGGTGGACACGTGGAAAGCCCTAATACTATAATGTCCCCCCAGTTGAGTTACGTTCTCCGTCCCTGATTGTGGGCTCAAACAATGACAATTAACATCAACAAACAAATAGCAAGCAAACAGGAGCTGGATCATTTTGTTTACCGCTGTTGTTTATTCGTCCTTCCACTGTAGCCGTGTTCATTTCTTTAGCGGCCGCTGCTGAAAACACTGTTCCCAGTCCTCTACCGCTGGTCCTCACAGTACGCGCCTGCAGTTCAAACGCTCCGTTGTCAATAGCAACCATTGTGTATTCACCAAGTCCGTTAAATGTAAATGATTTGTTGTCAAGTGTTACGAAATGCGGGTCTCCCCATATCAAAGCTGAAAAAAATAATAAATAAAGACATTTTCAACTTCGAAATATTATTATGTCTCTCTTCTGATACATTTTCAAGGAATATTTACAGATTACGGATTATGATCCATCAAATATTGTTTCTCGCGCGCGATTGGTCTAAACACGTCACGTGACGCAGCTAAAACTGGGGAATATCCGATGATATCCACAAATCATTTGGATTTTACGTTCGCACGTTCAAACCGGTCCATGATGAAAAGGAACACTCTGATTGGTTCCCTGAGCGTTCCCGGAATTTTGATCAATACGGATCGCTAAGTTGAACTGCTCACGAATTAATTCGCCGAATTCCTCTGTGACCATTGGTCGAGTTCTTTTTGACAGAATGTGGACCTAGCTGAGAGCCGAAGGTGAGGTCCATAAACTTGCAAAAAAGAACAATAAGAACTGAACAAGCTAGTTCAGCAAAATCAGCAAAGTATCAGCAAATCGTTTTACCTCTACGTCTGCTGTTGTAACGGGAACAAGTATCAGATGGACGATGCTGATAGTAAAGATCGCACAAAAATGAATTACAACAGTACGCGTGAGCTTCCAGATCAGTTATCATGAACGGAAGACCGGGGATCCCCATTAAAAACGGGCTCCCCCCTTCCGGTTGTCCAGTGGTGAGAACTTTTCCAACTCCGGGTCGCTCCGTGTAGCAACACTGCTGCACCCAGGCGCTTGTTCGAAAAGGCAGTGAGTAGGCGCACGTGGTGAGGTTGCTTCGACCCGCAACGATTTGATTATAATCCACATAGAAGAGCTTATCTGCAATAGCTTGGTTAAAAGTGCAGGGACAAGGCCTTATCCGTGGGATTGTGATAGACGCTTGCTGGCTAGACCATGTGTAACACTTCTTGGCTGGTAAATCCAGAACAGAGCTATTTTCCAGGCGGAAGAACCACAGTCCGTGACTGTTTGTGTTACCGAGTCGCTGGTCAATAGTGTCGGCTTCAACACTTCCAGAGCTAAAAACAACAAAACACTACATTACATTTCCATAAAACCCGATAAACGTCGCGCTATCGTCGAACTCAATTGATCATTTAAATTCGATATCAGCGCGACTCAGTAGCGCGACGTTTGAAGTTGCGCCAGAGTCGTGCTACGTAGCAAGGGAGTCGCGCTAATGTCGAACTTAAGAGTCATTGTCTGAGAAAGTGTTCCAGGTGTTGGAAATGGGGTCAACCGATTTTGATGAAACTTGGTAAAGAAGTTGGCCTTGATGAGATATTCCAAAAGCCACTTTGGTTTTGTTTTTTGACTTTTTATTTAAAAAGTTTCAGGGGGGGTCCCATTTGGCGCCTCCGAATCATTGAAAATCCTGTTTTGAAGGGGCAAGTTTGGATTAGTATAAAACCAAACAAACAAAACCTATTGACTAATTAATTGTATGGTGTGTTTTCTACTATAAATACTCTTTCAGTTCATATGTGCGGATTCGGCACAAAAGGTTCTGGCAGTGTGGGGTCTGGGACGAGTTTTGGCCAAATTTTGAAGAGAAAACCACTACCCAAAATTGCCAAATTTTAGAAGTTCATATTTTTTAAACTGCCCAATTGGCTAAAATTGATACTTGTGTCAGGAGTTACCCTAATGTAAGTAGAATGAAAATCAATTGAGAAATATTTGGCCCATTTATTTTTTAGGTGCTTTAAAGACCCATTTTGCAGCACACCCTCACGAAATTTGCATATTGTCAAAAGCCAAAATTTAACACCCATACTAGCTTTATTTATATTTAAACACTTCAGTTTGCTTTAGTGAGGCCTAATTTATTTATAAAATATTTGACAAGCAGTAATTGTGTGAGTAAACACTACTTTATACTTTTAAATTGCCTTAGAACTAATAAATCAGTGCTCACAAAACCAACTTTTGTTTCACTTAAAACAAAAATATGCATTCAATACAGCAACTTAGAACACAAATAACTAATAGGATGGTGTGTTAGTTATGTACTGACACTTTTTCCAAATGTAGCCATGCTTACTTGAACTTACCTAAGCCCTTGGCTTGGCCCTTGCTTGAAGGAAACTGATGTCTTTATGGTAAATGTAATACAAATAAATAGCCATATTCCAAAATCAAGCGAGTAAAACCATCCTATGGCAAATCATAATTACCTGGCGATCAGTTTATTCTGTATTTGTTTACAGATGAGTCCATAATAGTCCAATATAATGAGAATGCTTTCTGAAGCCGTTGACTTGTTTGGCAGTTTTGTCTCCTATCGAGCTTTTCGGGACTACTCGTCATTGGATGTAAATAATTAAACACAGTTAGAAGTCCATATGATATGCAGATTTTCTCCAGGGTAAAACAGATGTCCTTACATCGGATTTAATACCATACATATGTCCAAGTCCAAGCTTTATATCCTTGCCCTTTCAGATCCTTTCAATACGTGTATGTTTATCTGCCATTTTGGATGTGGTCGCAAGAGAACTGGGTCGAGAGTAGTCTCAGTCTAAAACAATATGCACGCAATTTATTTATTTTTATAGGAGCATATTACCCTCCTATATTTTAAATCTTTATTATCAACTAAACAGAAATACAATAAAATTAATTGTATATTCCTTTGACGTGTTGGCATATAATTTTTGCTTTAATTTTGATGCATTGACTCAAACACCTACA